ATAATTGAGCAAATGTTGGGGAATGATTATTTTCTGGCAATAATGATCCAATGCAATGATAAACTTGTCCATGAATTTGAAAGTTAGATATTCCTTGTTTTTGAAATTCCTTATTTATATTAGCTCCAAATGATATGCATGCCAAAAGGTTATTATATCCTCTTATATTTTTGTGAAATGAAGTTGCAATAGAATTTGATGAAGTGTATAGATTTAACAAATATGATGGTGGTTTTAACGAAGGTGGTAAATTAACTTTACCACTAGCACAACATACAGCAAAAGATAGAAATGTTAGGCTGCTACTTTTATCTTTTTCATTTATCCAAAATTTAGCATTACAATGGGTGCAAATCTGATCCATTCTTCCCAGTCCATGACGTCTTATGTCATTATATTGATGATTATTTAAATGATTTATGCCTGCTTTATGTAAGATTTTTGTCTTTTTCGATAGTGAGATTTTCTTTTTCTATTTAATCTCTTTTTACGCTGTTTAGAAGTTTCACTTTCAAACATATCTTGTTAAGAAGCCATAGTAAATATCACGTATAGTTAATATTAAAAGCTGATAATCAAAAGTTATGATAGGTTATATTTGATAATACATATTTATATAACAAAAAATTTTAGTATCAATATATAACAATATCAATTGCATTGCATGCAGACAATATTATCTGATGTGATACAATATTGTAATCCGGATACATTATATATTGGCTTTGGAGCTTTTATTAATTAAATTAAATTTATTGTGATTTTTAAATATAGTACAATCTATTATTTCTATTATTTTCGATTTCATATAGGCAATATTATTCGATGTAACAATTTCAAATACATTGTATTTTAGTTTAAATGTTACTAAATGGTAATTTAATTTAAATGAAATACAATCTATTATTTCTGATTAAATTGTATACAAACATAATAAGGCATATGGGGTGTGAGCTAGGAAAATGACCTTCTGAGATTAATTTACCATTTTGAGTAAATGATAAACAAAGCTTT